AATGCCAGAACTGGCCTGGGTAATGTCCTGCAAACCACCTTAGAATAGAAACTGAATTTGCAAACTTACCTTCAATAAGTAATGCTTACAGTTTGCTATATTGACTCTTTGTAAGCAGTTTAGCAGTAAATGGTATATACGACAATATTTACATTTACTTCTGTGTACTTACTCTCAGTGTTTTCTGGGTAAAAATATACAGTTGACTATTTGAGAAACCTCATTTAGGGACATGTGTTATATATTAATATTATCACATCCCCAGAAAAAATGTAATTCATAAGAATTGCTTGTACACTGCACAATTCACAATAGCAAAACTGTGGAACCAACCTAGATGCCCTTCAGTAAATGAACGGATTAAAAAAAATGTGACATATATATACAATGGAATATTACTCAGCAATAAAAGAGAATAAAATCATGGCATTTGCAGATAAATGGATGGAGTTGGAGAAGATAATGCTAAGTGAAATTAGTCAATCCCCAAAAAAACAAATGCTGAATGTTCTCTCGGCTGTAAGGAGGCTGATTCATAGTGGGGTAGGGAGGGGGAGCATGGGAGGAATAGATGAACTCTAGATAGGGCAGAGGGGTGGGAGGGGAAGGGAGTGGGCAGGGGGTTAGCCATGATGGTGGAATGTGATGGACGTCATTATCCAAAGTACATGTATGAAGACACGAATGGATGTGAATATACTTTGTATACAACCAGAAAGGAGGGGGAAAAAAGATATTTACAGGAAAAAGAAAAAAGAAATTGCTTGTACAGAGTTTCTGACAGGAAGTAATGTTTCTTTTTGTGGCTACTTCCTTCTACTGGCCCCAGGGCTTTGCAACCATTATGAAAAAGTCCTGTGCCCCTGAGCCCAGTCCAACCAAGCCTGTGTCCTGCTGTCTGCTTGCTTCAGGACCTGTGTGTTCCCTTCCCTTTAGTTATGCAGAAGTTTGTAAGAAGCAACCTTTGAGAATATTTTTTGGTGAATAAAACATTGACCAAATGTCAGGAAAATGTTTAGGAAATTGTTAAAAGCATGTGAACATTCTTTAGCTTATGTTATTTTAGTGTTGAATGCCCTGTGACACCCATTCTCACCTTCTCCCTGTTTACTTTCCGAATGAGGATTTTAACATGCAAACCTGACCTTGCCAGTCCTCTGTTACAACTCTTCAGAGGCTTCCAGTTTCTGCCAGAATAAAGTCCAAAATATTAACAAGGCTGTAAAAGGTCCTGCAGAGTCGCCTGCCTCTCAGATTTCATGTGGTGCCCTCTTCCCATAGCCTGCTTTCCAGGCCTGTAAGCTCTGCATCTACTCTGATGCTCTGCCTTTCCATTCTCCAGGACCTACGCTCACAGTAACTCATCCTTCATGTCTTAGTGTAAACGTCACTTCTTAGAGAAGATTTTTATGAAATCTGTCCTCCCTGGACTAGCTAAGCCAGCCCTCCACTCCCCACACTTGTGAAGTGTCTTCTGCTTCTCTTTAAAGAATTACCTGGGGAAATTGTCGAAGGTCCGTCTTCACCTCTAGAACGTGGATCCCATGAAGGCAAGAGTCTGTTTGTTGCTTCACAACTAGCTTTTAGCCTGGCACCTCCTACCCAATTCATTTTCTTATCTGATTGCATAACTGAGTAGATGAGCCAAGCGCCCTGCTGCACACCTATAATCCCAGTAGCTCAGGAGGATGAGACAGGAGGATTGTGAGTTCAAAGTCAGCCTCAGCAATAGCAAGGCACTAAGCAACTCAGTGAGACCCTGTCTCTACATAAAATATAAAATAGGGCTGGGGATGTGACTCAGTGGTCGCGTACCCCTGAGTTCAATCCTGGGTACCAAAAAAAAAAAAAGAGTAGATGAAATGGAGGGAGGGAAGATGGATAGAGAACTTGTGTTGCTAGCATTTCTCTTATCCTTTTTTAAATATCTAGTCATACCATTATAAGCATTGATAGTCCAACTATAGAGAGAATATCAGATACATTTTTATCAAATATGTGTATTGTTCTTATAAATTAAATATTAGTCAAAATAAGAAGCAGGGAAGAATAAATTAGAGAAATTGTAAATCAATGTCCACCTCATTAGACTTCTGTTTTCAGGCAAGTCTACTCATTTATTTTAATTTATATTTTTTGCATTAATAAAATAGTTATTTGAATCAAAAAAAAGTGTTCGAAACTCACAGTTGTTAGCCTCACATACAACAACAGGTATCAAAACTATTCAAAGTTCTCTTTGAGCAATCAAAATATGAATAACAGTCATGTAGTTGCTGTGTAGGTACGCTCCAGCAGAACCCTCTTCTCTTTAAATCTTTTGGGAAAGTTGTTTATGTATTTTAATTTTTTTCTTTTTACAAATAATCTGAAACTATAGAATTTTATGAGACAAAATAAATCAACAAATGAACAAACATCCCTTTCATTTGCAATGCTTAGACTAGCACTGTTAGCATGTTGACACAGTGGTGTGCCTAGTATCTCTCTTTTTTCTAGTCTTTTGTGTTTCTTGTACAGTGTTAACAAGCTAATACCACCTGAATCATCTTTCCACCGCTTATTTTACTTAATAGTTTCACAAATACTCCCTATATTCCAGGGAGAGGGTAGTGAACCCTCTCTTGACTTTTCCGTGGGATGCTCATGGTAATTGATACTAGTAAGTGTGAGGAAGGAGAATTAGTTAAATGATTTGGCAGGGATACAGAGTGGAGCATACAAAATTGTAAGAACTAATAGCTGCTGAGTGTATCAGGTCTCTAAATTCCTTGGAGTGTGTCCCAATGAATAGCAGCGAACGTGTGCAGTGTATGATCGTCCGATGCTGAAGTAAGTAGCTCTTGGAACCCGAGTGCCTAAAGTGTTAAGGAACCATCTGATGCTTTGCAAGTTGTTTGATGACCAATTCCTTGGGTGGCTCTTTTCCTACTATGTGATATCATCCCTTCTTTTTTCAACCTCATTCTATGGTGCTTTCTCCATTTGTGGGCATCTTCCTACTACCCTGAACTCCTCTTTCTAAATGTTTTGAGCACTTTCTTTGTACCTACTACCTGGAACCCTCCCTCTTCCCTGACCCTAACACTGTGCTTTTTGCATGGACCACTCAAATTCTTCCTCTCTCAGATTAAATGGTGCTTCCCCAGAGAGGAACTCCTGGATCTCCCTTGATAAAACAGGCCCTCTATCAGGACATCTTTGTGTCCCTCCGCATCTATGTAGAGACTACATTGGACAGTTCTTCATGTGGGGGGAGGAATTCTCAAAAAAATCCTAAAATGAGCCCCAAATGAGGAAATAAAAGATTTAGTGGGTGTCATTGCCCTCGGTCATTTGGGGCATCAGAGAGGGAGAAATGTCCCTGGAGCTTGTCTGTCTTCTGTCCTATCCTCTCTTTTTCCATCCCTGTCCAGCTAGGTGTATGTGAGTACATGTTGTAAGAAGGGAAAGGACTTCAGAATTGTGACTTTTCAAACAAAAAGGAAAAAAATCCAGAAGTAGTAGGCTAAAAACAATTAGTGCAAACATTATAGGATTTTCCATTTAAAATTCTTGCTAAGAATAATAGGAACATCCTTGAAACAAGGATCCTTTTGACTGACATCTGTTTCATGGTGTTCTATGTCTTTTACTCCCTGCCTTATAAAAATAGAGCTAATTAATTGAAGTTCTGGCAAAGAGAAGGGAGTAATCCCTGGCCTGTGGCCAAGAATTCTCCTCCACCACCAACATTCCCACACATTCCGTGGCTCCCCGACCCAGTTATTCTCCATGACATCTTCTGGCATTTTTCCTTCCTAGCCTGTATGAAATTTAGAATTACAGTGTCCATTTATCTCCATGTTTAATGTATTTTCTTCCCATTAAAATTCAAGCTGCATGCCATCCACGTTCTTGTTGGTCTTGTTCATTCTGCTCACCCTGTCACCCTAGTGCCTACACAGTGCTTGGAATTTGGTTAGGAATCAAATACACATTGAATGAATGAATAAACAAATAATTTAAGTGAATCAATTTTTAAGTGGATTCTTAAGCTCTGTCCGGCTGTGTCATTTGAAGAAGAGTGTTGACAAAGTACATGGGTTTCTGATGGTATCTTTGCATTCACTCAGTAAACACTTATTGAGTGCCTGTCACCAGGTCAAGCCCTGGAAATGCCAAATGAATAAGATGGATTGATGCCCTCGGGGACCTCAGAGACTAGCAGAGGGAAAGGCACATATATGTGTAAATACCTGCGGTTCTTTATGAAAGTGTGAAATTGAAGTGTGTAAATATGGACTATTGGGGAACAAGGGAAAAGAATTTAATTTCCCTGGGGCATGAAAGTTTTTATAGAGGCAGTGATATTTACGCTGGGCCTTGAAGGAGGGGAAGTATGGCAGTTAATTAGCAAGAACAAAAGCGTGGGGTCAGAGACGTGAAAATGAATGGCATGTTTGGACAGTATTGTGTATTTGGGTGGGGTAGATTGTAAATGCTGCACTAGGAAGTTTGGACTGAATCTTAAAGGAGCCAGGGAACCTGCTTAAGTGAGGAAGGACACAATAATAGGTACAGGTAACAATGTTCAGATTTCACTGGAAGGGAGTAGAAGCCAATCACTGCAAATATAGGGTTCATCAGTTACAACAATGTTAATTTAAAGTTCATAATAATGTATCTTTCATAGAGATGAATTTTAGAATTTAATAGAGATTGATATTTTGCCAGAAATTCAAAGTTCTTTTAAAATGTATTTTTCTTGATGAAGTTTTAAAATTTATATTTATGTTGGATTTTTAAAATTTTGAAAATTATTTTTACATGATAAATTATTTCTACAATAGAAATCACTGCAGAATAAACTTCATGAATCTTCATGTGAAATGTCATTGAGTATTTTGGATGCTTCCAGGTGAATGAAATGTCCAGGGCTTTTCCCTACCCTTGTTAAAGGCAATGCTTTATTATCAATACCTTATTTAAAAAGTAAGCTGAAAACCTGTCTCTTGCAGTTCCACGGCAGCCTTCAAATGACTTGTTTGAAATATTTGAAATAGAAAGAGGAATCAGTGCAGATGATGAAGCAAAGGATGATCCAGGTAGGAACCAGGATGACATGTTCTTCTTTCCCTCCATTTCAACTTAAATTATAGATTGTTCAGTCCTGTTGGGGAAAAATACACATCTTTTTTGTATATGTGTGTATGTGTGTGTTTTACAAATCTGTCAAACCATTTGAGCAAAAATACTTATGAATCATCAGTCTCTTTTTAAAAATATATTAAGGTGGTATTTGAATTGCAAGAAGGAAATCATATTTTATAAGTGACGATGTAACAAGGTCATGATTTGGCAACATTCGTGTGTTCTATTTTTGCAGCTGAACACATGTACACAATTGTGCTGAGAAAGGATTCTTGTAATTTCCTTTCAGTCTCATGGAAAGAAATTCTGGTGGGATGTTAAATGTTGATAGGGGAGAATGCTTGTTATACAGATACCCTGGTCTTTAGATTAATTTGTTTATTGAGTTTGTGATCTACTCATCCTTCTGGTCATTTCCTTGTAGGTGTTCTAATACACAGTTGTAGTTTTGACCATGGACTTTGTGGATGGATCAGGGAAAAAGACAATGACTTACACTGGGAACCAATCAGGGACCCAGCAGGTAAAACCATTTCATCTACCTCTTCCTGCTATACTTTTCATTTTGATCCTATACTAATCAAGTATACTGTAACACATCTCTGTCTTTACTTAATATATGGGGTTAAAAAAAAGATCATGCCAGTATTCATGTGCTTTAAGTGAGCCTGATTTGTTAGCTATTAATTAGAATTATATTATGGAAGACAAGAAGTTAATTAAAAGGCCAGCTAATTTCTCTCAAAAAGTTTGGTAAGTAAAACATGTAGAGTCATTCTAGCAAATAATTTTCAAGTTATCTGTAGTGGCAGTTTAGAGGAGAAGAAAAGAGAGAGAGAGAGAGAGGGAGAGGGAGGAAGGAAGAAAGGAAGGAAATAAGGGAAGGAGGGAAAGAAAGAAATATAGTGGTATATCAGCCGTGGTAATGATCCCTGTTTGTATTTTCAATTATGACCCTTTAAAAATATATTTTTTTAAAAGATCTGAGTGGTAGTAGAAGGTGGCAACGGAAACTTCTGCAAAGTTGGTTATCTCTCTGAAAACAAATTCACTCAGATGCTAGGGAAAATAGTTACCAGTTACCACCGCTCATTCCATAAGACTGGGTTAGTAGAAAGGTAGATTTAGATACAGTCTCTTGGAAAGTTTATATTCTTTAAAATTGTACAATTCCTATTTATCTAAAGTTTTAGTACTTATGTTTTGTCTTCAAATTTCAGGAAATAAAGCTACATTTTGTTTTTGTCTTTTGTCTTCCCTTAGTAATAAAATGTTTTTGTTGTTGTTGTTGTTGTTTTGAATGAGACCAACTTGACGGAAGGGTGAGGAGTTTTTTTTTTCTCTTTTTGTTCTCCTGATTCTACATTCAAAGAATAAATGATACAAGACTTATTTATTTATTTATTTATTTATTTATTTTAGAAGCCTAGATCTTAAATACTGTACCAGGTATATAGAAAAGCACAAAACACACAAAAGTTAACTTGCGAGAGCTTAGGATGTGTTAAAGCAGTTCTCTTACAACTTCAGTTAAAATGCAGATTTTCATGCATGTCTAATAGGCTCCCTAGGGATACATCCTCTGCTGCTGGTCCCCAGTGTACATTTTGAGAACAAAGTATTTAAAAAAATTTATCCAAAACCATATTTATTAGATCCCTGAAAATCAAATTGTAACAGAAATATATTAAAATAAAAATCGGCAATAAACTTTCAAAAATATGAATATTTAGTAAATTCAAATGGGTGTTTAGATTTCTTTTATCAAACATATATCATGTAACATCTCACACAGTACACACACTCATTCTTTTTCTCAAATTACTCCTACTTATTTGAGGTTAAGCAGAGCATTATTATTGACCCAGTATCTATGAATAAGACAGAATCCAACATATATTGAATACCTACTATAGTCCCAACCCATTTGCCATCTCATTAAGTTTATTTAATCCTCTTCTCTACCCTATAAAGCAGGTAATATTGACTTTATTTCACAGAGGAAATATAGACATCTATAGAGGTGACATAGTTTCCTAAGGTCACAGAGCTACAGAATGGTGGGAATTTAGTGCCAAAGTCAGATTTTATGATTTTTATCTCCAAGACTCTTTCTGCTACCCATGGAGCCTTCTAGGTAGTTCAGTGCTCAGAACATCTGCAGCATTATTCTAGGTATTTCATTCTCCCAGGCTGGCCTCAGTTGTACTGCATGTGATGTGATTATGTGCATTCTCTGATTAGCAGTTCAGAGACAATAGATAGACTGACTGCTGATCTGGAGTAATTTGCTTATAAAGGAAGCATCTTTGGCAATGGTGTATGACAGTCACGAACAGTGTCATAATGAATAACGCTGTTGAGAAGGTGCATTGGAGAGAGTAATTCATACTACACTCAAAAGAAATCCTTCTACTTCTAGGTAGACAAGTCTGTAGATAGTCTATATAAATTAGACCAACTTGATTTTTAAAATTTAAACACTGTATTTAGTACATTTCAACATCTTTCATTATTCGTCACATTTGTAAATGTTTAAAATTTGTGACCCAATTTCCCCTTGCCCTCTGGTAGAAAAATGAGAGGATGGCTAGAAGTTAGAAATTAGACACAAAACATTTTTGGTCATCAGGTTAATGTGGGTACAGAATACATGGAAAGAAATTGACAGCTGTTTGGGTGACTGGGTAAGTCCTGATGATTGACTCTGGCCCTTGGAGGATGCAGACGATTTTGACCAAGTTTTTACAACAACTTAGATGAATCCTATATTGAACTTAGATACTGAAGATAAACTGACCTATTTTTGACTCGAAGCTGGAGAAGGAAACATGCATGTGCTGACATAACCAGCATCTAAAATATTAGATGAATGTGTCACAGTAAAGAGTGTGTTAGCTAGTGTGGGGTGAATACAAGGTGTGGTTCATGGTCTAGAAACCAGTCTCCCAGCTATGGGATGGAGAAGATGACTGAGCACTAAGTGTCTAATCACCTAAGAGTTTTTGTGGATAGTGAAACCAGTATGAGTGAATCCTGTGACATGACTTTCAAAAAGATGGGCTGTTTCCATAGAAATATGGTACCTTTCCAGAATGGAAAATCTGCTGTGGTTAAGTGGTTAACCCATTTCTGAGCATTCTTTGCTGATTGAAATGTAAGTCACTCAGAAGAGAATACTTATGACTACAACTAGATGACAAGTTGGATCAATGGGTGAAAGCTACAGAGAGATGGATTTGGTTCACTTTCAGAACTTTCTAACAGACTGTGAATAAAACAGAGTAGGCTGACATGGAAAGGCTGAGTTCTGTTGGTGGGGAAATTTGACGGTCATCATATGGCAAAGTGTTCTTAAAGGATTTGTAGCATCAGACTAGGGTTGATTAGAAAACCTCTTAAACCAGTGTGAAAGCCTTTGGTTCGGAATGGAATGTCCCAGAAAATCACAAGGAAATTGGTAAGCAGGCTTCTAGCTTGGAAAAAAAGGCTAGGAAGACCAAAAGATGACGAGTTGGAGGAAAGACGTGGGAGGCATTATGTTAGGATGGATTTGCAGAATCTGTTTGTAGACTGTTTGGGGAGATTCTAACTATATATTGATGGGACAATGCCAATAAAGCTTACCTTTTCTGCCTATCTTTCTTCTAGGAAGATTAGGTGGAAGGGGGGAGGTCCAGGTGGAGAGAATGTGTGTGTACATGTGCATGCACATGTATGTCACATGCAAAAGCCCAAGAAGAATATGAGCAATTTAATAAATAATTTCTATGCATTGTTCTAATTACCAAACTAATTGTTTACTTGTTTCTACCTAGATTATACCATTTTTAAAAGACTATACATTTGGATTTCCCATTACGATTGATTTTAATGGTGTGTAGTTCTTATCCAAGATCTAGATTTGTAAATATTTTTTTATGTTGCTATTTCTAAAAAACCCTCAATTGAACATGCATACAACCTTGAGATTCAGCTATAAAATAAGTGAGTTTTCTAACTGCACTTCTTGGTACTAGTAGGTTTTGTTTATCACATTCTTGGACTTAATTGTGAAATGTAAAATTAATACATCCCCCTAAGGAACAGGAACTTGTCTGCAGACAGACATGACACCGTGCTATAGGCATGTAGCTGTACCTCTGAGGATGCCCTTCTTCTGTACATAAGGCTAGACTTGGGTCCCTTTTCCTGGAATCCTGGTGTTTCATGATCAAGGATTAAAGGCAACTGACAGCACTCTGTCCACTACAAGAGCTGCAAGGCAATTTTTTAAGTATATAAATATGCCAATGTATACATACAGGTGTATCTGTAGCAGAATTACAATCATTATTTAAAATATATATAATGAAAAATAATAATAAAAATGAAAGCTTTCTGCTATACCTGGCCCCTGTTTGCCTTCCCCAGATGTAGCTGGTTTCTTGGTTCTTTTTAGAGAGCAATTCACATACAATGGCACCCTCATCTGTACCTTGTTTTATTACCCAATGATACCATACCACCTTAGGAGTGAACTAGTAGAACACAGACTTGAAGCCAGAGCACCTGGGCTGAATCCCAGCACCACCACTTCCTCCTAACTTTGACCTTGAACAAGTTCCTTAAAAGTGGTAGTTAAAAATGTCTACTACACATCACACAAAGCATTTCAAGCAGTGCCTACCCAGAGTTACCATGATGATGATGTTAGCCATTGTTGCTGAAGGCTGTCCAGTATCAGTCCTTACAGAGCACCTCATTCTTATTAATACCAGCTCTTACTCATCAGAGGCGACACAAAAACCAGCCCTCTACTGAGGAACATCTGATTTGCTTCCAGCCTTTTAGTATTTCCACATCTAGTGAATAACCCTGTACAAATATATTTTCTTATATATTGAATATATCTATAGAAGAAATTACTTAATATGAAATTGCTGAGTCAAAAGAGAATTTGCATTTTGAATTTTGGCAAATCCTACCAAATCACCTTTCATAAAGGTTGTAGCATTTTTTATTTTTATCATCCTCAAAACAGATATTATGAAACTATTCTTTATCTTAGCCATGCTTATGGATGAAAAGGCATTTCATTTTAACTTTAATTTGCATATCTTTCTTTTGTGGAAAGCTGACTCTCTCTCTCTCTCTCTCTATATATATATATATATACACACACACACACACACACATAATTTTTTGTAATGCTCATTTTCTTGTTTTTAATTATTGATTTTTAAAAATTCTTTTATATAAAAAGGAAAGCTATCCCTTTTTCATGTGTTACAAATATTTTGAATTATTTTGCTTATCTAAGTACTTCATGGTATTTTTCATCTTTCTAAGTGAAAATTTGGAAACTTAAATGTTTAATAAGAAATTTGCTAAGTGATTAATTGCATGCTTACAGCTATAAAAAGCTATTTCTTGACATAAAGAAATAGCTGTGATATATTTAATGAAAAAGGGAAGTTATAGCATTGCAAATATAGTACTCCTCCCCCCTCCCCACCTGCAGTAATGGGAATTGATCCCAGGAACACCTGACCACTGAATTATATACCTAGCCCTGTTTTGTCCAGATAGGTCTTGAATTTGTGATCCTCAGCCTCCTGAGTAGCTGGATTAACTGAGTGTGGTGCAGTACATCTGTAATGCCAGCTACTCAAGAGACTAAGGCAGAAAGATTACAAGTTTGAGGACATTGTGAGCAACTTACAGAGATCCTGTCTCAAATTTTAAAGAAATAAAAAATGATTGGGCTGTAGCGTGGTAGAGCATCCCTGAGTTAAATCCCCAGTACTTGGGGGAAAATTTTTTTTTTTAATTTTGTGCATATATTTACCTAAGAAAAGTTCAGAAATCAAAATGTTATTCATTATCTCTGGACTTTGGCATTATAATTTATTTTAATTTTCTTTATAACTCCCCCTCCTTCAAAATGGGCATGCATTACTTCTTTGGTTAGTAAAAGTCTAAGTTATTTATATTCAGTGGGTAAATACTGATAAAGCACAATGATATTATTTCTACCTGGGCCTGTTTCTTAGCCAGGCTATAAAATACAAATAAAATCACTGCAAAACTCCTTTGACCACACAGTTAACACATTAAAGTAATAGATACTATTTTATTCTCTTTGTAAGGGAACCAACAAGTATAGAATTCAAAATAAGTAAATTAAAATTTTAACACCTAACTCGCTCATCAAGTTTTGCAACATCAATAATTCACTATTCCCCATTCCCCTGATTTTTTAGGTATTGTGATGCTTTAAATGGAATGAAAATATTTCACATTTATGCCAGTATTTTAGAATCAGAATTGAAATTGTTATTTAAGAGGTAATTATTTGGGGATGCTGGATTAACTTTTACCTTAGTTACTATTTCAAATTGGCAACCTTTCCTGTATTATACACAGAAAGAATTCCTCACCATGGGGTTGGGGGCAGGGAAACAAACCCTGGTACTTGTAGAGCAGATCTAGGGAGGAAGAATGATTATAATTTCTTTTATGACTATCCAAATTTTAGAGTTTTAAGTGCATAGACAGAAGGATTATTTGAATCTTTTGTTAGGATGCCTTGATTTTGTGAGGTTGTTTTGTTTGCAGGCAGCAACTCGCAAAATGATATTAGTATACATTCCACGGGGTCTTAAGATAATCCCTGTTTTCATAAAACTTGCAAGTTCTTGGTAATAACCTGATATCTTTGCTTAACTAGAATACCTATGATCATTCAAAAGCTAACTTAAAGGCAGACATTTAAAATCCATCTAAATGTTTTGACCTAAAGTATGTTGGGGGTTAATTTGTGGGGGAAGGGAGTGAGGGTGGGAAGGGAGGAAATAAGAAACTGTGTGTGTGTGTGTGTGTTTGTTGATTCAAGTCAGGAGGACCTACTTCTGCAGGGTTTTGTTTTGTTTCTGGTTTTGGAACATCATTCATTTGTTCAACAAATGACTTTAAACACCTCAGAGTATAATGGGGAGGTTTGAGGGAGAGGTTGGTTCTGACATCAAGTTGTTGGACCTCCCCAGGAGCACTTAGCACAGGGCCTGCCACATCCTAAGTACACAAGATTCTGTGACCTCGGAGAGCTCTGAGGGACTTATTAAGGAGACCCTTGAGTGAGAAGACATGAAGATCTTATCATGTCTTGAATAAGTTAAGCATAAGAAAGCAGAGATGGCCTATCTTGTAACTGAAAAGCAAATGGAGTTTGTACCAAAACAGATACATGTGTTCAGCATTCCAACCACATTTTTCCTGTGGACAAATCAGTGTTGAAATGTAGAGTGTGTTTTTCAGTTGGCTGAGATAAAACTGCCTAAAGGGAAAGTCATTTGTACATGGATTGAGTTTCACAATGCTAATCTACTCGTAACTTTCTCCTGAGAAGCAGTGGTTCCCATTCTATTGTTGCTTAGAAATTTTATTTTTTAATTCCCTAACAGAGGCAAGCCAACTCTGTAGGCCTAGGGATCCAAGAACATCACCAAAATGATTCATCAAGTTTTTATTAAGATTTGGTGTTTACTTATATTTAATAGAATATATGCATAAAGTAGACACGTTATAGATTGGTTCTAATATAAAAGTGTTTTAAACCACTTACCTGATACTCCAGGAAGATGTGGAGGGTTTTCCGCACACCTCTGTGTCTGAGGTTAGGTGCACACCAGTGAGAGCAAAGCCAGCTCTAACTGCTTTTAAAATTTTTTTCCTTATTTAGAAATCTTTTTATTTTTTATATGGAAGAAGGAGAGAATAAACAGATACAGTGCTCTATAAATGGCCATGTGCTTTACTGCCCAGAGGTTAATTAGCCACATAGGAAATTCTCCCAGGAAATTTAGGGTTGATTCTACCACACTACCCAACCAGCTTGGCAGAAGGTGTTGGACAACACAGTCATAAAATTGGTAAGGCTCCCAAGGTGGTGAATGTGTGTAAGTTTGTGTCTACCTCTGTACGCATGATCATGTTCCACTGGGAAACATTCGTAGTGTTTGGATTTCTAATTATTGTGTTTTTGGCATAACTTCTATTATGAGCAGAGCAAGGGATTATATTTTTGTAAACAGTATAGACATAGGAATAAGTCAAATTTTCTCCTTCAAAATAATCTGGAATTCTTTACTAATGACTGTCGCAGTCTGAAGTTTATGAAAACAGAAACTCCTGCCCGTGCTGTTTGTGCTGGAAAGGGATACCGGCACACACACACATGGCCCTGCTTTTCCCATTCCAGGTGGACAATATCTGACAGTATCGGCAGCCAAAGCCTCAGGGGGAAAAGCCGCTCGCTTGGTGCTACCTCTCGGCCACCTCATGCATTCAGGGGACCTGTGTCTGTCATTCAGGCACAAGGTGACTGGGCTGCACTCAGGCACACTCCAGGTGTTTGTGAGAAAACACGGTGCCCACGGAGCAGCCCTGTGGGGAAGAAATGGTGGCCATGGCTGGAGGCAAACACAGATCACCTTGCGAGGGGCTGACGTCAAGAGCGTAAGTAGATCCCAAGGGAGGCAGAGCCTGGGAAGTTTTCCTTTCATAGGAGAACTCTGGGGTCTGAATTTGAAGACGCCTTGCTCTGTGAATTCAGGCTCAAACAAAGGTTTGTGGTTTTTTCTGGGCTTGATGATTCCATTCATTCCTCTTTCTGAGATTCCTTTTATGCTTCTTCATCCTTCTTCGTTACAACCTTTGACCATCACCACCTTTCCCACCCTGGTAAAGGCTCACAATTTTTAATGAAAAAAAAAATTAGGAATAGAAAAGTAAAAAAACAGTTGACAGAAACTTTGAAGGGTTTGGTGGCGTGCTGAATTGTGCTGCCTTACCTTTTCCTTCAATTCCTTAAATGTTCAACTTTTACTTCCATGAATTACTGTGGAGATGTTTCTTTCTTCTATTTTAAAATGTTCTTTAAAGTTCAATGTTTTTCCCTTGCCTTAAAGGTCATAGTTCAGCAGTCTCAGGTGGGAATCCAAGATCACAGTTGGAAAGAACAATTCTGTTTAGAATGGAATATAGAAAAAGCTTTGATTGAACATATAAATTTTATTTTAAATAGTCAAATCATGGGTAGCAAGAAAATTATCTACAGCATCCCATCAAAATAATGAATGCACTCTGAACAATGTCATCTTTGTGTTGATGCTTATAAGACTCTTGCTATGAGACACTGCAACTATGCTTGTCCATAGTTTCTAGAAACTATTTTTAAAAGAAAAGTTAGACTCCACTGATACAGACTTATCAGGGTATGTGCACTGTTTCACCTTAGGGTTTTTTTTAAATTTTTCTTAATATTTACATTACTTGGAGAAATGAAAAAATAAAATAAATTATTTTAGATTATATCATTGAAAGATTTCTCCTGTTTTTAAGGAACAGGGATACGCCCACAGAAGATTAAATCCAAGAGCAGTGAAAGTGTGGGGTTTTTCCATAGGTAAAACATTGGCATACTGGGTGGTATTTGATTCTGTTTCATTTGGGGACAATAGAACCATTTCATCAAACAGAGAAATTAAGAACTCCTGAGGTGGGCTGCATGATCACGATCTTTCACATCTTTGGCTCTTAATTTCTGCACCTTTATGTTCCGTCTTCTTGCTTTTAACCTTGGTAATCTTTGACAAACACATCTACTTTACAAGCATTCCTAAAGTGACTTGGTCTGTAGTTTAGAACAGCCTTTTAAAGAGTAACTGGTTCTGAGTAACACATTTGATGAACAGGTTACTGATGATTTAAGTTTCTGCCAAAAAAACAAACCTCAGAGGACTCTGGAAACTATGTCCTGGTCTTTCCTCTTGTCACTTAAGTTTCATGTTTACTTTTGGGGAAGGTTTGCCTTTAATTTGCTAAATGAGCGGGCATTGGAAAGGGGCAGAGGAGGCTTGACTGGTGTGTGCATTCTCTCCCTAGGTCATCTTCAAAGGTGAAAAAAGGCATGGTCACACTGGGGAGATTGGATTGGATGATGTGAGCTTGAGAAAAGGCCACTGCTCTGAACAACGCTAACAGCTCCAGAACTAGCAATGAACTCCTATGTTGGTTGCTCCCTCGTCTTTTTCCAATCCTCACCTTCTCTCCTCTTCTTCTTATCAGGCCTAGGAGAAGAGTGGGTCAGTGGGTCAGGAGGAAGTCTGGTTTGTGACCCACATCTTGCTGGCCTGCTTTGTGCAATCCCAATGAACAGTGACACCCTCCTTGAAGTACAGGGGCATCTGTAGACACATCCAAGCCATTCTGGGGTGTTGCCTTCCATCCTAAGTTTTGTTTGGGAAGGCCTTCAGTGTGTGTGACCTATACCATCCTTCATCCTGATTACAGAGTGCTCCTTGTAGCAAATTATGGGGAAGTTTTCAAAAGAAATCTGTGCAAATGGTCATTCTGTTATCTGTTCAGTGTTGTACCATGAGTAGTATTGACTTTCCTTAAGGTATGATGTACAGTGTGCTTGTGAAATTGATTTATCCTCTTCACTTACGTTAGTTCTGGCCTCACCTGAACTCTGACTTTCACTGCCATTCACTTTATAAAAGAAAGGTGTATAACACATCAATTTGCATTTATTCTTGTTATCTGTGTTTTTACTTTAAAGACAATTATGTAGAATGGGCACGGAATCCCTCGTTGGTAGTACTGTGTTTTGTGTAAATGTGCTATTGATACTAAGTATATAAGTGTTCCTAATATTTACAGACTCTAGTTGCAAGGTAAAAGGCAGCTTGTGATCTCTTGAACTAAAAAGACATGGCAAAATGTCATCCAGTTCCATGACCAATCCATTGGCAGCAAGAGAAAATTGGCAGAGGTGTCAGTTTGTGGTAATGGAGGGATGAATTTTTTTAAATTGCCTTGAGTTTAGTCTCTACAAGAACAGTAAACTATTTAGGGAGATAAGAAACTGCAGTGAACATATAAAAACCTCACTGTTTCAAGATATAATTTAAAACTGATGGCTTTACCATCTTAACATGGCTCTCTCTTATAATCTGTAAAAAGCTTTGTAAAAGTTTGGTTGCTGTAGAGGAAAGATCCTGCTGATGGAAGCAAGGTAAGAGGAAGAATAGGGGAAGCTCCACTGGAACAGATTTGTCATGCGAAATCCCCACAGGTAGAGCTTGCACAAGAAGCAAGCCCTATGCACTGAGGTATTGCATGTGTGGAGTCACACACCAGAGGAAGAGACAGGATTGGAATTCTAACATCCACAGACCCCAACTGTATTTCCTCCCTGCATATTTTATCTTTATATTAAAAAATACATAACTTTTAAAGGGTATCTTACTCCTGAGACTTTTCTTCGTTTCTAATTAAGTAATCAAAATATTTTCTACTGTTTTTGCCAGGAATCACAAAGATGATTAAAGGGTTGGACAAAAAGATCTATGATGAAAAATTAAAGGAACTGGGATTATTCAGCCTGGAGAAAAGAAGACTGAGGGGCAAACCATTGATGGTTTTCAAGTATATGAAGGGTTGGCACCAAGAGGATAGTGACCAGCTGTTCTCCATGTGCACTAAGAATAGAACCAGAGGAAATGGGCTTAGACTAGAGTGTGAGGGAGTGTTTCCTGGCAGGGACAGTTGTTAAATCAAAATTCTCCATTTAAAAAAAAAGTGTGAAAATATCTTTCTCTTCCTATCTCTCTCTTTAAAAAAACTAGATAAAAGTCTACCTATTTAAGATATGCTTACCTCAAGGTAAAGGAACAGATTACAGCATCCCCCAGATGATTTGATCCTATTACTAGTATATAAGGAACATCTTCAGAACTAAGTAATTTGGACTAGGCTCTAATTTAGGAATTTCCCTCTTGACCTCCTAACAGGGAGGAGCAAAGGGAGAATGATGCTGAGTTCATTAAAAGGTTTCTCCCTTTATGGCAAACCATGCAGTATTAAAACAAACACCCAATTTTTTAAAAATCTACATAATTTTTTCAAAGAGGTTGTGATGGATAGATACTTTAATATCTCAGTATTGTCCTAATATGGTAGTGTTTCAGGTTTTTTTTCCCCCTTTGGTAAAGGTATAAACCTTTCACTTGCTCAATAGGTGATATTTCAGATTTTTTTTTTTTTCAAAGAGAAACCCTACCAAGGAACACAGATGGAAACATCTTTACCTGGTGCATTCTCTTTGCTTAGTGTATGGAAGCTTAACTTAGCTCCTGGAAGAGGGTCATGCACAGCACCTCTAGATCTTTCCTTCATCTGCTCACTATGATTCCCTTTCTCTTACCAATTGGAATCTCCCAAGTCCCACAAACTGGTAATGTTTTTGAACAGTAGGTCCAAGAGAAGTTCTTTTATCATGTAACTTGTAGAGGCAGGGGGAGGGGGAATATAAATCATTGAGCCTTTGATTAAGGGCCAGAAATGTGGTCTTAGATCCATTTTTGATTCATTTCCTTTTTGTTCATATAACTGCACAGTTGAAGATGAAAGGGGAAAATAATTGAAAATTTCACTTGTAGGTGCCAATAATATATTGCACTAAAATGATGGAAGAAGTTATCCAAAGTACTGTATAACATCTTGCTTATTATTTAATGTTTTCTAAAGTGAAAAATGTTAGTGGTTTTCAATCAGTGAAGTAATACAATTCTTTGTAAATAAAAACACTTAATATTAGTTTTCTGTTTCTTGGTTTTTTTTTGAAGTGGGGGGGGTGGTGGCACTGGGAAGAAAGTACTGAGATAGTACATTGGTGTTTCACAAAAGCTATCTGTAGTAGAACCCTCTTTACTGCTTGGGAGAATAGGGATGATTATTACCTACATTATTGTTCTTACTGGTTTATAAAATATGAGACAATTTTCATCAGCATGCACAGGGAAAGAGAGCAGAATATCACTATAACCCATGGCTTATCAAATTGTTTTAATTATGTCTTGCCATCTCATTGTAAACATTTGCTTCAAATTCTTTTATGGAAAGGCAGGGTAATTTATAATTAATATATTTATATATATGCATTGTAAATGAAAAGCCTTTTTGCTAGTGATTGTTAATTTATAACATTTTACTCATATTCCAACAACCTTTCCTGATGGAAAAAAGAAACTATAAAGAAACAACATTAATGAAATCACGGAATAATAAAAGTCCTTGTGCAGAATTATAGAGAATAAATTCAAACCCTTCTTTCTTCTCAATACTCAGAGAACTCATAATAGCTGGATGACCCAAATCTTGCATAAATATATAATTCAAGTAAAAAGTTTAAAACTGCATGTTTTCTCGTCTCGGGGATCTTTCCTAATCATCCCTTGGAGATCTGAGAAAGGTCGGGTTTTCAGAGTATGTTCATTAAGAAGGTAAACCTTTGCAGAAGCCCCTCTGAGATTGGGGTGAGGGGAAGAAGCTTAGGATGAGTTTACAGGGTCCACGGTGTTGATTTGCTTAACAGATTTTTGAGCACTGGCTGTGTGACTCTGGGGTCCCACAGTGGGCAGACTTCCCCTGTGGGGTTCCAATCTAGAGAGGAAGGTGGACATTTATCAAAGTCATACAAGTATGGGCCAGGATTGTGGCTCAGTGGTAGAGTGCTTGCCTAGCATGCATGAGGCACTGGGTTACATCCTCAGCACCACATAAAAATAAAAAAAATAAAGATATTGTGTCCATCTAAAACTAAAAAATAAATATTAAAAATGTCATACAAGTAAATGCAAAATTGCTCTTCTAAAAAAACTATATGGGGCCTGGAAGGTTCCTAAGCCTAGTGGGTTTCAAGACCTTCACCACTGCTTTTCAAACTTTAAAATGCATGGGAATCACCTGGAATCTTGTTAAAAGGCAGCTTTTGATTTAGTGAGTTAGGAGCGGGGCTGAGAGTCTGTGCATCTAACCAGTTCCCAGGTGATGCCTCTGCTGCAGGTCCTGGGCCACAATTTGAGTGACAAATAATGAAAAATGGAGGGGGATTTGGGACTTTATCAATGTTAGCGTTCAAAGTTGAATGGTCTGAATGTCTGTGGTTTCAAGATTTAAATTTGTAAAAATTCACTGAGTTCCAGTATATTTTTAAAATTATTATTCTTAAAAAAAATCCTTTTTCTCAGCATGGAATAAACTTTCCTACCTGGTGCAGAACATTGCTTTGTCTATCAAATGGCACAGACTTCAAGGTAAGGAAGTCAATTGAAGACACTTAAACATAAGTGAGGCAGCAATCCAGGAAGACTACATTTTAGAGGACAAAGTGACATTCATAAAATTGGAGATAATTATTAAGTGCTTTTCCAGGATGCAGAAACCTAAAAGCAACCTGGAATTATAGTAGAGGTTAGTTCCAACTTGATTTTTCTGGAGTTAATTCATTAAAAGCTAACAATTAAGCCTTCACTTATAAACTCCCCATTTAATTTCTAAAAGTGTGGAAACCTACCCTGTGGGCTTTCTTCCATCATTTTATGCATATCTTCATTTTCTAGATCAAGTACCCTCTTGGCTGTCTCAATCTACTCAGACAGTTGCTCCTGACGTGTTGAATTATCTAAAGCAGTGGCTCCCAGCTTGTGGTAGTTTTAACCCACAAGGGGTATTTGGTAACTCCTAGAAACATTTTTAATAGATTAAGGACAGGTATATTGCTAAACATCCTGTAAAGCACAGGACAGCTCCACAAAATAATTATCTGACCCAGAATGTCAATAGTGCCAAGGCTGAGAAAACCTGATCTAAATCAATGATTTCCAATGTGCCATAGTTTGGATCTAGAATGTCCCCCAGAGGCCCATGTGTTTGGGAGGTTTTGTTCCCAGAGCGATGCTATTGGCAGGTGGTGGAAACTTTAAGAGGTGGTGCTTGGTGGGAGGCCTTAGGACCTTCCTATTTCCTTCCCAAGCCCCATCCTGGCTGCCATGAGGTGAGCAGCTTTGCTCCAACACATACTCTCTGCTTCATGTACTGACTCATGGGTCTAAAAGCAACTTCACCAACTGACTGAAACCTCTGAAAACTGTGAGTCAAAATAAACAAAAGATAGTAAGTTAACTAACGCTCAAAGTGTAGCAGTATAAGTCCTGGGAATATGTTAGAAATGCAAATTTTTGACCTCCACGTTCAACTTACAGACACTCAAGGTGGGACCCAGCAGTCTATGGTATATAATAAGCTGCTCAGGTAATACTGATGCACTTTAGTTTGAGATTGTTTCCTTACTAGCTCTCTACCACTCATCTTGAAGCAGACCAGGTACCCCCACCCAAAAGACACTTGCCATAATTAAGCTTCTCCTCTTGTCGTATCAGCAGGATGTCTGTAGCAGTTATTGTGCCTGGTAGGTTCCTCTTTCTTGTAAATGACAGGTTTGCACACAAAAGGTGTGACAGTCTGTAAGCTTGTTGTACAAAAGATATTATTTCCTTTTCCTTGGTAAAGTCTTGAAAGACTCCTGTCTGGCCTTAAAGGAAAAAAAAAATCACTTTCTGAGAACTCAAAGAAAAAAATTTTTTTCTATGTAAACCTCCAAACCCCTCCTCCCACTGGGTATAAAGTTCAAAAAATTTCCAAAATCTTTGTTCAGAGGAAGAATTCTTGGACAAGAGCCACCTCTGAACCCTACAGTCAATAAACCTTCCTGAAAATTCCTCTGGTGCCAAGCCTCTTCTGTCCTACTTCAATCTATGAAAGCAATCCTCCAGGGCCTTACTACCACCTCCTCACTCCTTAACTCCCAACTTTAACTCTATTACAAAATCGCACTTTTGGAGGCCGCCCATGAACTTGTACCACCTTGTCTGTAGTTCCAAGGCTCCCTCCTTGTGTATCTCTACATCAGTGGTGATGACCGTGCTGATTTTTCTCCATGTCCTCTTCGCCCTTGGCTTCCACAAGCCACACTCCCACATTTCCAACACTTCTGGAAAGTCCAAGGCAATGCTACTAATTACACTGGATTATTAATCTTTCTCTAGCCCTTTACCATAAGTCTGATCCCCCTTATGGATTCCCTCCTTCTCTGAAGGATATCAATTTTATCCTTAAAATCTGTTTTATCCCTTATTTTTATTTATTCAAATCTTAAACTAACAGTTCTTTCTCTGAAATAGTTCTCCTCAATCAAAAATGCAGAATACTGTGGATGCCATTTTTTAAAATTTAAAGGTAAGAGAGCCAACTCTTTTCATGATAATTTAATACAAATGATAGGTCAATAGAACCGAGGTAGTTTTGTATTTTTGGCAGGTCAGAGCCATAGATGCACAGGAGAGTTGTTTTGTTTTGTTTTTTCCAGTAGACTTTTCGTATTGTGTGTATTTTGGAAAGCTCTCTCAAATCTCTTATTAAATAAAGTAGTTTTTAAAAGGAAAGACCACTATTTCTCAGGGTTAAGCTCACTGAATTATTTGAAGAGCAGACAAGTGGCTGAGAGCAGGATGCTTGGTTGATAGAATAATAAGCAGGGAATAGCCTTTTGCTTTATAGTAGAATGCAAACACACAGCACCAGCTGTACTGTGCAGCTGGTCAGTCAGAGTGTGGTCAGTGGACCCACAGCACAAGCACCACCTGTGAATTGCAGGCCCCCTCAGACCTGTTGAAGCAAGTCCACGTAACAACATTCTCCGGGTGATTTCTATGTCCGTTGAGATTTGCAAAATACTACTTTAGAGTATAGGTTTAGCTTTCTCCTTCGTAAGGGACCCGTGAAACAAACCTGCTCATCCTTACCATGCTGCAGATCAGTTGCTTCTCAAAGTACAGTCCTGGCACCAGCAGCTTCTGCATCACCAGGAAGCTTGTTAGAAATGCAGACTCTCAAGCCTAAACCAGACCTTCCCCATCAAACCCTGGAGGTGAGGCCCAGCAGTCTGGCCTTAAGTGATTCTGAACCATGCTTTCAAGAGGGCAGTTCTGGATTTCAGTCAATAGAGAAGCACCCTGCCTTGGTGTACTGAGAGCTCCCTAAACCAGCATGGCTAGAGGTACCATGCTCTTCCCCAAGGTGGTTTTAGGGCCAATCATAGTTAGGAGACTCTGAGTTAATGTTATTTCATTGGTACTGAGAATAATAACATTTTGAATATACAGAGTTTACAAATTGCTTTCCCTGGTATTTCACTTAGCCCTCACTATAACACAAAAGTTAGAGATATAATTGCCTGCTGCAACAGATGAGGAAACTGAATTTAGAAAGATTAAGTGACTTGCTAAAGGACACATTAATATTAATGGGCAGGGCTAGTTTGGGAACCTAACAGTACAATTGCAAAAAGGTCTACCAGCTGTTTCAAAAGTTAAATAAAGAAGTTTCAAATGTAGCCGAAAACTCCAAATGTCTTCTCCCTTTGGGGAAATGAATTTCAGACATTTAGATTAATGAAGAAAGACTCATGAAAAATAAATTTTTAACTTTCTCTTCAAGGCTTAACAATAACAGCATGAAAGAGTATTTGAACAGATAAAGCAAAAATGCTAACACTTGGTGATTCTAGAAACAGGATTTGTGTTTGATTGCACAATAGCTGTAATTTTTCTTAAAAAAATAATGAAATCCACAAAACTTTCAACATTTATCTGGGTGACCAAGTAGAAGAAATCCTGTAGTTCTTACTCATCATTGTGTGGTTTCAAGCCTCTTGTGAAAAAAACTTCTAAGCTTAAAGAACTTATCTGTGTCAGGAG